CTAGGTGAAGAGTCTACCTGGTACTCTTCTCTGTCAGTGCAGTCTGCACAGTGTTGCTATGTAAATCTACCTGGACTTCTCGTGGAATCTCTAAAATGCTAAAAGGAGACTGAAAGTGAAAGTCATTTAGAAAGAAAATTCACTTGCAAAGAAAGTTATTAAGGAAGCCAGTATTTAAGAGGCTTGCTCACCACAAAACAAAACAGAACAAATAAACAAAACATGTATTAAAAGAAAAATATCCACAAAGTTACCAAGGTTACTGAGTTAACAATTAGTCTGTTAATGAAAGAAAAATAGCAATTTTCTCACGTGATTATTTTATCTGTAAAGCTTTCCTCCTGTCTTCAGATATCAGCATTACAAAAGTTAAGGTATACTTGTTTTTTGGGGGGAGTCAATAATTTATAGGAAGGCTCAAGGTTTCATTTAATGTGGGATCTAGAATTAGACCCTGGTTTTGTTGTGTCTTCTTTTTGTTTTCTCGGGATGCAAAGTGGTGTGTGTTTCCTATGTGTCGGATGTGATATGTATGTTTACCCTTAGTAGAAGCAGGCAGTGTCAATTTTGTTCCACATCACTTTAATTTCCTTCTTGATATCTCCCTCCTCTTGTCTATTGGAATTGTCTCAATTTAACTACATGGTAAAGGTTGCCATTTACTGTGCACTTAATTTATGTCAAATAAATATACAACCTTGTTTAGTAGTCACAATAACTCAGTGAGGTAGATATTACTCTTATTTTACACACAAATAAAGTGCCAGAGAGGTTAAATCATTTACCCAAGGATCCATAAATATTAAGAGGCAGAGCTGAGATCTGGACTTCTTTTTACCCCCTACTTCTGTTGTATTGTAACTGTGTTATACTTATGTACTTTCTCCATCAACCATCAGCTCCTTGAGGCAGGGATTATGTCTTGCATGTCTTTAAATGATCAGAACAAAGTAAAGGGTCTAGTACGTAGTAGGCATCTAAATGAATGAGCTATCCTTTTGTATTTTACAATTATTTAACGTGCATAGATCTTATTTTTTGAAAACTGTATAATGAACTCCCTATGGGCAAAGAATGTCAAAGTTAAAGCAGAGATAGTGACATCAAAGATTGAGGCTAGCTAATAATCCGTTCAGGGCTATACCCTGATGTAGTTCAAGGCCTGGTCTTTAGCTTTACAAGTAAGAAACTCAATTTTGACCATGCATCCAGAGTTGATTAGTTTAGAAGGAATGACTCATTTTGTGCAAGCACATAAGAAAGTGATAAATGGGTGTAACTGTATTTTAGCCGGTCAGAGATGAGACTTCCTGGGGCTGCTCTGTAGGGTTAGATGACACAGCTCATCAGAATCACAATCACCTCTGTGCTCTCTGGGTAGACTAGCTTCCAAATTTTTATGTCCCAATGTTCAGGAAACTTTTTAAATGAAATAGTCAGGAACTGAATATAAATAGGGCCCACAGGGTAAAGTGAGGGAAAGACATTGAGGTTCATACAGATACCGATCTGATGGCAAGAAGTCCTCAGAAGATGCTGAAGTGGAGAGAGAGAGAGGCAACAGGGTCATGGGAGAAAATCATCCTACATACATTTGCATGAGCCAGACCAAGCAGGAAAGCGTGGCTGTTAGAACAGATGGTTTGAGGTTTGGACCTGTTTCTCCCCATTTTCCAACATATGTCCAGATTGCTTCTGTTTCTTCCAACCACCCATGGTCTCTGGAAGGGAATGGCTTTGGCAAAAAAAAAAAAAAGTAGGGCCGGCCGACTGGCGCGTTGGTTAAGAGCTGGCTTGGGATGTCAGAGGGCCCCGGTTCGGATCCCACATATGAGGGCCAGTGACACTGCCCTCTACAGCTAAGATGCTGAACAACAGCTCAACCTGGAGCTGGGCTGCCGTGAGTCACTGGCGACGGCGTAGGCTGCAGCCCCTGTGGCAGTGGGTTGCCATGGGCTACCGTGTGTAGCCAGCAGCCAGCATGAGCGGCCAGCAGCCGCAGTGAGCAGCCATCCAGAAGCCGGCGACTGATCTGCCTCACCCGGAAGAACGCAATGATGGTGCCAACTTGGGCCAGTGAAGCAACGTCCTCCACAACTAGACTGAAGAACAAAAAGGATAGCAACTTGTCTGTTCCCCTTCCCCCAATTCCCCAGCGCTGTTCCCATACCCAATTCTCCAATAAAAAATCTTTAAAAAAAAAAGGGGAAAAAAAGTATGTCATAAGGAGCCAAGAACTCTGAAAGAATAGGTTAGGAGGCACAAAAGTTGCTTCCCTGATACCTGGAGAGGAACATGAACCCCTGAAGGTGGTGGTCTACAGAAGGTGGAAAATGGTGTGGGCAGCCGCCAAAAGAGCACAAGGACAGCAATACTAGCAGACACCAGAGCAAGGGAATGCAGAGTGGTAGGCAGCACCTCAATGACTGTATGATAGAAACAATCCCCATGTCCATCCTCTGTCAGCTCCTAAAGGAAACAGTGAGGGAGGTTGTGTTTTCTTGGGTTACTTAACTTCTCTGAGAAGGAAAATGAAGGTAATAATAAGGGTACTTTCTACCTAAGTTTGTTGTGAGGTTTCCATCATATGATGAGCACTGAAAATAAACAAATTTAGTATACTAGTTGTTACATTGATAAAAATGTTAATTCATTCATTTTAAATGGAGGTCATTGACAATCACTTAAATACTGTGATTTTTTAAGGTCTGACTGTTCTGAGAACATAGAAGGCACACTCCTGCCTTGGTGTCTTTGAATATGCTTTGCCTGGAATGCTCTTCTCTAGTTATTTTCATGGCTGGCTCCTTTATCTCCATGAAGTCATTTACTCAAATGTCACTTCCTCGGTGAGGACTTTCCTGACCACGATGGAACATCTTAGTCCCCTATCCTGCTTAATTTTTCTCTGTAGCATTTAGTGTTATCTAATACACTACATATTTGCTTATTTTCTGCTTCCCTTTACTAGAATATAAGGTCCATGAAGTATAAAGATGTTTTTATATTTTGTTCACTGCTATGTCCTTAGTGCCTATAAGAATGCCTGGCACAGGGTAGGCACTCAAATATTTGTCAAATACATGAAAGACGTTCACCATCCAGAACAACTCTTTCTAGTTACAAGGCACATGGGAGGTCTCTGAGCAAAAATATATTTTTTTGCTAATATCCATAGATCTCACAAAGTACCTTGTAGCACCTTGAAATAATTTAATACCATCATTCAGTCATTCATTTACTCATTCATTATTTGAATTTATGGTGTCCCTACTATGTGCTAGATATTAGCCTAGTACTGGGAATCCAGCAATGAATTTTCATGAAGTTTATATTCTAGCTGGGACAGGGATGGGGTTAGGGGGTGGGGAGAGAACAGAAGAACTTAATTTCTTATCCTTGTCATTTTACCATGTTAAGCCATTACTAAAATTATAAGCCCTTCTGGGTTATCTATACTCCCCCATATTCTCCTCCTCATACTTCCCTGTGCTGTCTCTCCTTGATCTAGTATTTTGTGGGGGTTTTTGTTGTTGTTTTTTTTAGCTGAACCTTCCTGCCACCTGTTGGCAGCTCAGCTCGGGCCCAGAATCGAACTGCTGTTGCTCAGAGCTCGCACTCTGGAGCGAGCTCTTAACCAACTGAGCCACTTTGGCCATCCCGATCTAGTACTTTGTATAATAAAGTATTAAATCTCTGACTTTTTTCTTGCAACAGAGAATTATCAGACAATTACTATATTTGGCCAAGATCCAAATCCAAAATCAGAGTCACCTCTGAACCCCTGAGCTGATTTTATAAATGAGTATTATGCAAAGACAACTTCTAGGTGATGCCACAGCAAAGAGGTTTCTCGAATAAATGATTTCGCTTCTCTTTGGGTAAAGGGTGCAAACTATAGATGTAAGGAAAAGAATTTTACTTCTTGCAGATATTCATTCATTAACTGTTTATGAATTACTTAATGAGATCCTACTTCATGACTAGCACAACCTGATGCCCTATATGGATACAAGTAAGTGTAGGATACAGACTCCATTCTCTTGCAGATGGAATGTCCATTAAGGAACTAGACCTTGAAAATTATGAAGTTATAAAACACTATAAAGAAACATAGTGCTTCCACTTCATCCATCCTCCTCTCCCAGCTGCCCCCCACCCAATCAAGCCAGCTAGTTTGGTTTCTCTTACCTTCCTGACCACACTGGATCCTATGGCATAATCAATCATGCTCTTGTCTGTACCCTAGATTCCCCTATCCCTTGATTTTTCCCCACTTTCATCTTTTCTTTTACTCAGTTCAGCATCTTCATTTCTCTTGATCCCAGATTGCTAAGAGAAAATCAAGTTACTTAGTGTTCCATACCTTTCAGCAGGTTGCAACTTAATGTTTACAGGCAATCTGCACATAGGGCCTGGGAAGTGAGGAAAAGAAATTTTACATTTATTGAAAGCCAGACTTGTGGAAGAATTGAGGTATTTAAATCAGTCATTGAGACTGAAAGTTATCAGAAAAGCAAATAACACTAAGAAAAGAACACCAAGTCTAAATTCATAACCTAGAGTCACTGCAGAAAAAATGGGAGAGGTCCAGATATATTTGAAAGACATCTGTGCAAAAAATTAGTTTGGCCGGAGAGAAGAGAACGGCCAGGAGTGTTCGCAGATAATAGTAACAATCATGGTGTCTTCTTGAGGATTTTATTTCAGGGCAGGCGTAAAGTGTAGCCGCTAGCATTTCCCAAATTCCATATGCCTGATGCAGGCAGACTTCGAGACAGCTCCGCATTTTTCTCAAGGTAAAATATATCATATACGAAGTTTAAAAAAATAATAATAGCGAAGTTTCCCTCCGTTAGATCTCTGTGCAATCTAGACACGTAAAAACTCGTTTAGCGCCGTAAGAAATCTCGCGATATTTTGGTGGTCTCCTGTGGCGGGAATATTGCGGAAGTGACGTCTGCTACGCCGTCACGTCATCCGTCGGAAGTAATGTCACATCCCAGAAGCCTTGGAGAGGGAGAAGTACTTTCACGCGTTCTGCAGACAGTCTAGCGTGGAACGTTTAGACAGCGCGGTTTGATTCTTGGCTGGAAGGCGTGCGCTTTTTTGCTTGGCCAGCCGCCGCCTTGCGGGCCTTGCGGGCCTTGGTGGGGGGTTGGGAGGGGCACAAGTTTGGTCTATTTCCATAGGTATAGGAGCTCGCGGCCGGCCGCGCAGCGCCTTGATCCGGCCTCACCATGTTAGTGCTGTTTGAAACGTCCGTCGGCTACGCCATCTTTAAGGTAGGTGGGAGATTGAGTCGTCGGAGTGGGGAATGCGGGTGTTGGGCAGGCGAAGAGAAGGAAAGATCTCAAGACAGGACGACACTGCTCAGGATAGCGTTGGGTGCCTTTTATGTCCCGCTGCTCTGAAGGGGGAGGCTTTGGGCCAGGGAGGCGCGTGTTTCGGTGAACACGTGGCCCGGCCGTTTGGGGCGCCGGGTTCTGGGTTAGAAGACTTGGCCTGATTAGAAAGGTGAACAGGAACCGTATTAGAATTTTACAGGTTATGCCAAGCAGTTCGGGTTTTAGCCTGAGTGTTTTGAAGAATGACTGAAAGGTTTTAAGGAGAGGAATGATCCACTTTGTCTTTTAATAAAGTTGTTGTGCTGTGTGGAGAATAGATTACAGGAGGGCGAGATAGCAACCAAGGATATTTTTGTATTAATCTACACAAGATAAAATTGCTTGGGTTAAGGTTGGTATGAAGGGAAATATGGGGAGAATTTTAAGGGTAGAACTGAAGGGATTGGCTGATGGATTGAATGTGGGGTTTTGGTTTAAGTAAGTGGGTACGTGATGATAAGAGAAGAGCAACAGGTTGTTGGGTTTGGGAGGGAGTCTAAAAAGTTCCCGATTGTGCTGTGTGAGGCCTGCGATGTCTATTAGACATGGAAATGAAATTGTCATTTCAAGTTTGAAGTCTAGAGGAGAAATCTGGACTGGTAATAATCAAATTGAACTTAGGTTGTTTTACTAGGGAACGTTTGAAGGTAAACAATTCATCACAGAAATGATTGAACAATGGGATATTTGAATAGTGGGATGCTATGAGATGTTAGGAAGAGGAAGGAGGAGGTAAATTGAGTGCAGTCCACGTGCCAGGCACTCTACTGAGCTCTATGAATATAGCAATGAAAAACAAATTCAAATATAAAGCAAAAAAAAAAAATGCTAGGTAAGAAAGTATAGTATGATTCTAGGTGTGAATCAAAAACTATGTCGTGTGGGTGTAAGAAAGTCTGGAAAGGTACATACCAAAATGTTGATTTGAGAGAGCTTTTCACTTTTTATTCTCAAGTTTCTCCTTTGACATTTGAAAATATATATACTTTTTTGTTTGTTTTTATTTATTTTTAAATTACACTTTATATTCAGTATTAGTTTCAGGTGTGCAGCATAGTGATTAGACATTTATATAATTTATGAAGCGATTCCCCCTATTAATCTAGTACTCACCTGGCACTGTACATCCACAATATTATGGATTATATTTCCTATGCTGTACTTTATATCCCCATGACTATTTTGTAACTACCAATTTGTGCTTCTTGATCACTTCACCTTTTTCACCCAGCCCTCCAACCCCCCTCCCATCTGGCAACCATTAGTTCTCTGAGTGTTTTTGTTTTTCTTTCATTTATTTTGTTCTGTAGATTTCACATATAAATGAGATCATACGGTATTAGTCTTTCCTGACTAACTTATTTCTTAGCATAATACCCTCTAGGTCCATCTGTGTCACAAGTGGTAAGATTTCATTCTTTTTTATGGCCAAGTGATATTCCTTTGTATATATTGTACCACATTTTCTTTATCCACTTGTTTATTGATGATACTTAGGTTGCTTCCATATCTTGGCTATCATAAGTATTGCTTCAGTGAACATAGGAATGCATATATCTTTTCGAATTAGTGTTTTGGATTTCTTCAGATAAATACCCAGATGTGGAATTGCTGGGTTATAAGGTAGTTCTATTTTTAAATTTTTTTTGAGGAACCTCCATAATGTTTTCCATAGTGGCTGCACCAATTTACAATCTCACCAGCAGTGTACAAGAGTTCTCTTTTTTCCACATCCTCACCAGAAAGTATACTTCTGTTTGCACTTACTACATTAAGTACTTGGTTTGTTGTTTTTTTTAAGAAAAGGAATAAAATAATAATTAACCAAAAGCTGGCTTTGCTTATTTTTCCTCTCATTGGGGTTATCTGTGATTGTACTATTATTCACTGCTGATTTAAGTGAAACTAATAGAACCTCTTCAAGGCAACTTGGTAGCATCTGTCAACATAAAATTTGTATATTCTATATGATTAATTAACTCCACTTCCAGTAGTTCTATAGAAATGCAACATGTATGCATACAAAAATGTTTTCTGAAGGATAATGAGGAAAAATTATAAATAACCTAAATATTTAATAATAAATACGGGCATAAGTGATGGTATATTCATCCCCTGCAGTTCTAGAATTACGTCCATGGTATGCTAAGTGTGTAGTATAATTACTAAAAGTGTGCATAAATAAAATAGAGTCAAAAAGTCTTGAAGAATATATTCCTAAACATTCATGACTTTCATAGATTAAAAGTGCCCCTTTTTTTCCTTTGCATTTTTAATTTTCTTACATCAGCATGTGTCTTACAATTGATGATGTCTTAGTTTTATAGAGAAATCCATAATATGTTAGTGATTATAGCAGTAAGTAACAATTTATTCTATAGAAAGTAGTTAATTTATCATACAGGTTAGGATATCCATATTTCATGTTCACGGATGCTACCAAATTACCTTCAAGAGATTATTGGTTTCGTTAAATTAAGAGTGAATAAAAGTTATTTCTCTATACCCTCACCAGTACTCTATGTAATAAGTCAAATGCTCAAATATTAGGGTAAGATTGATCCTAAAATCCATATTTCTGTATATTTGATATCCCTGAAATTGGGATATCTTAAAATTGTTGGCAGGTCAGTTTACTTAATAGTGTAAAATAATGGCATATTTGTAAAAGTGTTCTAAAGAAAGTCTTTTGATGTCGTATGAATATGATCTTTTTTGAAGGGGTTATGGTCTCCTTAAAAATAGAAAGTTTTCAACAAAGACCTCCAACTAGACCTGAATTCCGTCTAGTTATTAAATGTGCTACTTGAGCTACTAATTGGACCTAAAACTAATGCTGGGTAAGAACACTTTAGTTATTTAAGAGAGAAAAATAACTTCTACCACCCTCATTTTACATGTACAGTTGCACTTGAGCTGCTGATTTGACCAAGAATTTGTGCTGGGTAAAAACACTGGTTCATTATTTCAGAGAGAATAACAGCTTCCACCATCCTCATTTTACATGTACAGTTGTACTTGAAGACTGTAGCTATATATGCATACCTAAACTGTATCGCTTAAACAAAATTAATATTTATTTATTGCAGGTTTTGAATGAGAAGAAACTTCAAGAAGTTGATAGTTTGTGGAAAGAATTTGAAACTCCAGAGAAAGCAAATAAAATGTAAGTCATCTTGAAACTAAGAATTTAGCAGTCACATTTAGGGGTTCTTTTTACATCTTCCCTGGGTTCATAGGTTATATTCATAATATTTTGTTTTGAAATCTATTTCAGGAATAATATTGATATGAGCCTAATTAATAGATTCCTTATTTGGAGCATAGGTTATTCCAACTAATTTGTGTTAGTTGCAGACTAAATTGGACAGCACCACAAAATTACTGTTTTGTAAGATATTTGGAAACACAAGTTGATTGTGAATTAAATACAAATTTCTGTTAAAAGTAATACTTGTCAAAAGCATGAGCTACTGATCAATTTAACTTTTAGTTTCTCTAAGTTAGTGACATTAGAATGTTTTGTTACTTAATTTGCAATTTATACATGCGTTATGACTTCTTCCTCCTAGCTCCTTCTGGAGTAATAACTAGGTAGTAAATCCCTGGAAAGGTATACCTGATTTCCCCAAAGTATGGGAAAATAGAGTATAATGTTGATGCCCAGCTTAAGGAATGAGTGGTGGGAGAGAGAGCTAGAGCTCGCTTTCCCTCAAGGTAGAGACAAGGTGGCTCTTTCATCGTGTGGGAATCACCTTTTGCAATAGCCCATTTGGTGAATGTGGTCCTAGGAAGTACCTGACTGAGCTCTTCATACATTATGGATCATTTGGATTATGTTTTTGGGGCATTTGATAATTCATCCGCTAGTGCTAATAAAAACTTGCAAGAATAGAAGGAAACTACTTAAGCTTGCTAAAGAGTTTTGAACCCAAAGAAATGTCACACTACACAATTAAAGAAACAAAATACAGAATTACAGCATTTGTAGTGGCAAAAACTCAAAAGTTGAAATAACTTAAATGTCCATTAATAATGGAATTGTTGAATACATTGTAGTGTATTTGTAGATCTCTTGTCCTAGAGAGAGGTTCACGATATACTGAGAAAACTATGCTTCAGAGTTTATTAGTGTAATCCCTTTTTTTTTTTAAGATTTTTATTGGGGAATTGGGGGAAGGGGAACAGGCAAGTTGCTGTCGTTTTTGTTCTTCAGTCTAGTTGTGGAGGACGTTGCTTCGCTGGCCCAAGTTGGCACCATCATTGCGTTCTTCCCGGGCGAGGCACATCAGTCGCTGGCTTCTGGACGGCTGCTCACTGCGGCTGCTGGCTGCTGGCTAAATACGGTAGCCCATGGGAACCCACTGCAGCAGGGGCTGCAGCCTACACCATCGCCGGCGACTCACAGCAGCCCAGCTCCAGGTTGAGCTATTGTTCAGCATCTTAGCTGTAGAGGGCAGTGTCACTGGCCCTCATATGTGGGATCCAAACCAGGGCCCTCTGGCCAGTTCTTAACCATCGCGCCACTCGGCCGGCCCAGTGTAATCCCATTTTTTGCCATGTTTTACATCTGTGTGCATTTATGCAAGCATAGAGAGAAAAGAACAAATGCCATCTCAGAAGGGTACAAGTAGGAATGGAGTAATGCGGAATAAAATGAAATTATTGCTTTTTTCTTTAAATCTTGTGTGTTGTTAAATGTGTATTTAAGGGAACACCAGGGTGTTCTCTGACCAGGTAAGAAAACTTGGCTTAAGAAAACGCTATTTTAGACAGAATTAAAGATTGATTTTCCTCTTTTAAAGGGCTATATGCTTCAGTTGGCTGAGTTAACCTGATTGATTGATTGTTGTCAATGATGTATTCTTGTTGGAACTGAAGCTTAGTGATCTCACTAAAATATTCGTCACTACCACTGAGACAACAATGAATTAAAATGTGTATTTGTTTCGATATAAAATGATGTTACCCTGCACGTAAGTGTATGGGGAAGAAGCAGATAAGAGTGACAGGAATGAGATCTGACAATAAACTATTATTGTTAATGGCATTTGTACAGGATGGGCAAATCAAATGTCATGAGATTCCTGACCTAAGGTGGACTCTTACACCTTTTCTTAGGCCACTTCTATGCTGTGTAATAAAAGGCATCTGTGCCTAGCTTTAAGGAACAGAAGTTATGCACCTCAAGCTTCAAAGTGTTTCTTGTGGTTTAGACGTGGTAGCAAACTCTCTGCTGTTCTATGCTTCGTTCAAAGCCTACATACAGTCTTTATAACAGTCCAAACATTATTAGCCTAACATTTAGAGAAACTGGCTCTTTTATGAAAAATATCTAACTTTTCATCCTGATATCCAATGACAGGAAAGTTTCTTTTATTGGTGTATGCTTTAGAAACAGTCCAGCACCCTTTCCTGAATATGTGGCTTTTGCAGAAATCAACGTGCACCCATAACATTTTTTTTTCTTTCTTAATTCTAGAGTAAAGCTAAAACATTTTGAGAAATTTCAGGATACAGCAGAAGCATTAGCAGGTAAAGTCAAAGACTAGCTTTCTTTTTGTTTTTAATCTTGGCAGTTTTTTATCCTTATTAAAAAGTTTGCTTCAGTTGCCTGAGTTAACCTTATTCAATGTTGTCAATGATGCATTCTTTTTGAAACTGAATTTAAGTGATCTAACATATTCGTCACTACCACTGAGACAACATTGAGTTAGCTTTTTTCACCATAGGGCTGGTTTTTCCCCTCATGTGATGAGAGCTGAGAAGTGGTTAAGTTGATCTCTCTGTGGAAACCAACAGCATAATGCTAAAGCACAATTCAATAAAAGCTGTTCTACAAGGGACCAAGGTAATGTGGTCGAGCACACAGCTCTGATCATTTTAATCCAAGGGTAAAGTTGAGAATAGCCAGGATTCACAGTTGAGATATTAATAAAACAGCTCTCCAGGGGTCCATTCTTAGTTTATTAAAAGTTTTAGGAAAACTAATACAGGTTGGTGCATGCATGTATGTTTAATATAAAAACAACAGGCATAAGAGGTGTTACCTAAAGGGGGCATGATTTTTAATGATTTCAAATAATGGATGACTCATATCCTCCATCTAGTCCTTGTGATGGGATAACAGGTTTATTAACTATGCTTGGCTTCAGTAGCCAGTTGGTTTTTTAATGTTGGGAAAACAAGACCAGATATCAAACCCTAATCATAATTTTTCAGATGCTTAAATTCTATATCAAATCAGCCAACTACTTGGTGATATATTCAGTTGCTGGGAAAGTCATGACATATTTTTCTATGTTTTTTCAATGCAAAACTGCATCATGACTTACCCAACGACCCAATAATTTGATGAAGGGTCATAAGGAAGAATATGGTTTAAAATCAGGCAAGAATTGGACAGACTCAAGTAATTTTATCAACCATAGGACAAAGGTATAGTTCTCCTGTGAAGATTAGAAATTGTTGTGGGTTTTTTTTTTGTTGTTGTTGTTTTTTTAAGCTGAGTCATCCTGCCACCTGTTGGCTGCTCAGCTCGGGCCGGGACTCGAACCGCTGTTGTTCAGAGCTCGCACTCTTGAGCATGCTCTTAACCAACTGAGCCACTCAGCTGGCCCTAGAAATTGTATTTTATTATTAATGGACCACCCCAACCTTATTAGAGAGGTAAGCTGAAGGAAGACCCAACAATGGGGCCAATTTTAAAAAATAGTTCTAGAGCTGCTTCATCAGTACATCAGTAATTAAAGCCCCATAGAACCATAAAGCACAACTATGGTAATTTCTGCCTGGAGACTTTTAAAAGATAATTTTCTGTTAATCACAGCTTTAAAATTAAATATGGGTAGAATTTTTAATTCCCAAGGAAGATCGTGTTACCTGTTCTCCAACTCTGGGGCTCATTATTCACATAGATTGATTTTGCATAGACAACCTCCTAGAGTTGTAAAGTGCTACAGCCCTGATCCCAAGTGGCTTCTTGAAGTCCTTTTTGGTATATTTCTGACCAATCCTTATTAAACTATTAAATGGACAAGTCCAACCTCTACCCAAACATGAAGCAGGTTTTTACTATAGCTAATACATCAATCACACAGTGATTGTCAGATTTTGTGCTCACCGCTCCAAAATTATTTAATCCTTGAAACAATCCTGTGAGGTAGATAATATCACTATTTTACAGGTGATAAAACTGAGGCTTGAGAGTTATATCATTTTTTTGCCGAGCTTTTGATATTCCTTAAAATAATGTAAGATAAATGAATGAAATGCCATACTAAGTGAGAACCCTGTGACCCTCTCCCCCTGCATCTAAGTTCCATGAAGGTAGAGACTATGTTGTTTATTGTTAAATTCATAAATTTGAGCACATATATAAATATTTTGGGGTAAATGAATGAAAGTAGTGAGCTCTGGCAATAATCTGATCAGAAAAACTTCTACAATGCCTTTTCCCATCTATTTTTTACCAAAAAAATTGAACATTACCTTATTAAGAGAACAGTCTTTCCTGGAAATTAACTTCCCACTGCCTTTACAGGGCAATTTTGACATGACAGAACCAAAACTCAGTAGCTGTAGATGTCAGAGTATGCATTTTAAACACCATAGCCTAAGAAAGAGTCTGATGGGGTGTGATGCCACGAATTTATATTCGTCCCAGAAGTTCAAATATGCATGGAGAGGTTTATTTTTGCTCTTGGTCAAATTTTCAAGTTGCAAGTTTTTCAAATAGCCACAGTAAAATTTGGGCTAGCCTACCTTTGGATAAGTGGGAAACTACCAGGGGATGCTCATCAGTGTCTAGTAGAAAAGATAAAAGAAAGACTCAGCTTCCCCTTATCCCTGTCACCATCTCTCTATACTGTCTTTTAAAAATACACATGAAAGTAATTAGCAGACTTTTTAATAAAGGGAAAATAAATGTTTATAAATGTTAGAATAGATCTAGGGTAGAAAGTTTTACTTTTAAGAAATTTTAAATAAAGGAGAGCACTAGGTTAAAGTATAAAAGTAGATATAGAAGATTAAGAACTAGGAGCCAGGGAGTTGAATAAAAGTTTTTAATTATCAAACATTAAAAATTTGTAAGAAAAAACAGATCTTATTAGAAAGGTACATTATAGTAGTCAATGTTGTACAAAGTGTAAAAGGCTAAGACCCAGCAAAAATAGCTTGAATCTTAGCTTCTTAGAATGCGGAGACCTCTGTTAGAGCTATGTGGTAGCCTGGTGGTCTTGGTCTGTACCTTTAATCTTCCCAGATAACAGATAAAATGGACTTGTAATTCGGATGGATGGAGATGTGGTCAGGACGAAAGAGGAAGTCCCCAGCTGATTAAGTGCTTGGCCTTAGAAGTTATGACAGACTTCATTCCTGCCAGGCATACTTTAAATTAAGCTAAAACCCTGACAAATAGAATTGTTAGTCCATGTGGGTCCAGAAAATCTTAAGTGTAGGTTGAAGGAAGGGTGAGGATTATAAGTAGCAGATTTAGAACTTGTTCAAAATGAAAATGGTCCCAAAATTGAATAGGCTGCCTTTGGTAGGAAGTTCCTTACTGGAGGTTTACAAGCATAGGCCTAATGACGCCTCTGGGTCAGGGATTAGCAACGATAAAATCCCACTAGTTGTGCTTGCACTGCAGCAGAACCTCCAGAATGAATACACTTATTGCCAGATTCTTGACAGGATTTTAGGGCATTTCACAATCCAGAGCATCAGGCCAATCTGGGTGGGTGTTGCCCCCACCTCTCCCAGTTCCCAAGTAGATTGTTTCTAACATATTGTGATTGTAGCTCAGTTCATGTGACATAGGGAACGGAATGCTGGATCTGGTTTAACTTTTGGTTCTGGAGTGGAAATGAGGGTGGCAAGCAAGATTAGATGAGATTATGAAATGTGTGACTTGTAAAACATTTTTACATTTATCATTTCATTGCAGAAGTAATGTTAAATTCAGCCATTTTTGAAAGGAAATGTTTATTTTGCTTTATTTTAAAACTTAAATTTTAAGATCTGAATCTGTTTACAGTTACAAATTTGAGAATTAACTCTTGTTTTCCTTTTTCCTGAAAAGCATTCACAGCCCTGATGGAGGGCAAAATCAATAAGCAGCTGAAGAAAGTTCTGAAGAAAATAGTAAAAGAAGCCCATGAGCCCCTGGCTGTAGCTGATGCTAAACTAGGAGGGGTTATAAAGGTAAAGTTATGATTTTTTTTATGCCTGCTAATAAGAGCTCACCATACAGCATAGTGACTACATAGCCTAGCCTTTGTAATGAGTTGTTTATCATAAGTTCTCATACTTGAGCTTTTTTCCCCAGGCTTGATAATAATAGATTTCCAGTGTGATTATCAGGAATAAGCATGTATGTTCATTGTAGAAAATACAAATACACCAAAAAATGATTTTAAAAAATAGCTTTAACCTTGTCCCCCAGAGATAGTGTAACACTTTGTGTATATTCTGCTGTATTTTCGTTTTAACCGCTTTTTTTTTTCTAACATAAATGGGGTCATGAGATTTCTTTTTTAGTGTATGTGTTTATTAGAAAACTTCAGTAGGGAGTAGAGTTGTTAGAAATTAAACAAAGTGAAAGTGAAACGAAAGTGGAAAAATAGACTCCCAAACATGAAATGCAGAACAATTTGAGAGCCAGTGCTATAGTTTGATCTTTGATTCTTTTTTTTTTTTTTTTTNTTGGGGAATTGGGGGAAGGGGAACAGACAAGTTGCTGTCCTTTTGTTCTTCAGTCTAGTTGTGGAGGATGTTGCTTCACTGTTACAAACTTTAAATTTTAGTATAATAAACATACATGCAGAAAGCAAATTGCTGAATAGTGGGCTTATGAGTATCTTTAATTTTTTCTTTTCAGTTTCTCTATTTAGAAAAATCTTATACTATTAATCGTATATATCCTAAGTATTTGTTTGTTAAACATGATGCAATATGTACATTGTTGCCTGTATGTACATTTGATGAACTGTAGATCTGTACGAAGGCATTAGCAAATACATTGCAATGTGACAAAAATGAAGATGTGGGGAACAAAATGTATTGTCCGGTTTGTACGGAGCATGTAAAAACAAACTATTAATGAAGATTTATGTATGTGTGTACACATGCATATTAACACATGTATTTGGAAGTACTTCAGGGATTCTAAGTTATTTATCTGTAGCGAAGTACTTTTTATTCAGTTCCCCTTCTTTATAGTACTATTGATTAAAATTTTTTTATTTTATTTTATTTTATTTTTTGACAATTTTACTTCCTCCTTAGCGATTTGGGTGCCTTTTATTTCTTTTTCTTGTCTGATTGCTGTGGTTAGAACTTCCAGAACTATGTTGAATAAAAGTGCAGAAAGTTCACAGCCTTGTCTTGTTTCTGATCTTAAGGGGAATGGTTTTAGCTTTTCCCCATTGAGTATGATGTTAGCTATGGGTTTATCATATATGGCCTTTATTATGTTAACATATGATCCCTCTATTCCCACTTTGCAAAGAATTTTTATCATAAATGGCTGCTGGATTTTGTCACATGCTTTTTCTGCATCTATTGATAGGACCATATGATTTTTATTTTTCATTTTGTTGATGTGGTGTATCACATTAATTGATTTGTGGATATTGAGCCAACCTTGAGTACTAGGGATGAAACCCACTTGATCATGGTGTATAATCTTCTTAATATATTGCTGAATTCTGTTTGCTAAAATTTTGTTGAGGATTTTTGCATCTACGTTCATCAGGTATATTAGCCTGTAGTTTTCCTTTTTTGTACTGTATTTGTCTGCTTTTGGAATCAGGGTGATCGTGGCTTCATAGAAAGAGTTTGGGAGCCTTCCCTCCTTCTGGATTTTTTGGAATAGTTTGAGAAGAATAGGTGATAATTCTTTTTTGAATGTTCTGTAAAATTCACTTGTGAAGCCATCTGGTCCAGGGCTTTTGTTTGTTGGAAGCTTGTTGATTACTGATACAATTTCCTTGGTAGTAACCAGTCTACTCATATTTTCCGTTTCTTCCTGTGTTAGCTTTGGAAGCCTGTATGCTTCTAGAAAATTATCCATTTCTTCCAGATTGTCAAATTTGTTGGCATATAGTTGCTCATAGTAATTTCTTAAAATTTTTTGTGTTTCTCTGGTGTCTGTTGTCACTTCTAAAATTTTCTGTGTATTACCTTTGTAATTTTAAAAAGAAGCTAAATGTAACAGTAAAAGCTCCCTCAAACCAACAAAAAGAACAAAACTACTAGGTTAAACTATCTTTTACAGCTTTTGATTCATGTAGACAAGCTGTGTTCCAGGAAACTTACACAAGTTTTTATTTCTACCAACAGTATATTTAGGCGTTTTTCCCATACGCACTAGAAACTGCTTTTTATGAAGTTGAGAAATGTGCATATTTAATTCAGTGCTATTTGAATATTTAGTTGATTTCAGAAAACTTTTATTTCTACATTTAATACAAATGTTGTTGTTTTTATAGGAAAAGCTGAATCTCAGTTGTATCCATAGTCCTGTTGTTAATGAACTTATGAGAGGAATTCGTTCACAGATGGATGGATTAATTCCTGGGGTAGAACCACGTGAAATGGCAGCTATGTGTCTTGGATTGGCACACAGGTGAGATTTACTGAAAAATAAAGTCAGCTTGTTTTTTAATAAACAATTGTGTAGCACTGTTCTAAGCATGTTATACGTAGTAATTTAATTCTCATAACAATCAGTAATAGTAGTAGTAGTAGTATCCTCATTTTACAGCTGAGGTAGCTAATGCCCAAAGTCAATACAGCGGGTAAATAAGGAGGCCAGGATTTGAACCAGGTATTCTGGCTCCATTGCCTGGACTCTAAACCTCACCGTAGACATTTTCTACCCATAGTGGATTCCACAATTCTTGGGCTTTCTCTTTTCTCTTTTTTTTCTCTTATCTCTGCTAAATCATTTACTACTCCCCCATATACTTTGCATATTCCCACATTTTCTCATCTGCCATGATCTCCTCTTAATAGAGAGAGTTGCTTGTTTTGCTCTGATTTTTATTGCATTTTTGTAATGCAAAGAGAAGCACATTGACCTATCATATTTAACCAGAGGTACATTAGAACAGGCATTTCTGCTATACTATAGTATATGTGTTCCTGAAAAGCTTAACATTCTGTGAAGTTGCACTAAAACAACAGCTTATGAAGAAGAAATAAGATTAAAGGTACACTACTCAAAACATGTGCAACTTGGTAACCAGAGCACTATCAAAAAACCCTAGAAATATTAACACAGTGAGAAAGATATGTTAATTTTATATTAAAAGAATACTACAAGTAAACAAAGGTCTGTATGTACAAAAAATATTGAGCATAGATTGATGAAGAATTAAAGCTCTGCTGACGTAGATGAACAAAATGCACAAAAGTCTGGAAGAACTTGGTAATAAGCATTTCTAAGGGAACAAATACAGCTAAATGGGGTCAAGATTCAAACTTGTGATCAGTTGCCATTGTATACAACAGTGGTAGGTAATCAAATATCTCTTAAGAGGACATTTGGTTATGTGTAGTGACATTTTTGGTTGTCACAATTGGGGTAGGATCTGTTACTAACATACAGTGGGTAGAGGCCAGGGATACTGCTAAATATCCTACAATGGGGTTGGCCGAGTGGCTCAGTTGGTTAAGAGCTGGCTTGGGATGCCACAGGGTCCTGGTTTGGATCCCACATATGAGGGCCAGTGACACTGCCCTCTACAGCTAAGATGCTGAACAACAGCTCAACTTGGAGCTGGGCTGCTGTGAGTCGCCGGCGATGGTGTAGGCTGCAGCCCCTGCTGCAGTGGGTTCCAATTGACTACCATGTATAGCCAGCAGCCAGTGTGAGTGGCCAGCAACCTCAGTGAGCAGCTGTCCAGAAGCCGGGGATTGATCTGCCTCTCCCGGGAAGAGCACAATGATGGTGCCAACTTGGGCCAGTGAAGCAACATCCTCCACAACTAGACTGAAGAACAAAAGGACAGCAACTTGTCTGTTCCCTTTCCCCCAACTCCCCAGTGCTGTTCCCCTCCCCCAATTCCCCAATAAAATTTTTAAAATTAATTAATTAATGTTATAGAACTATAGGTTTTAGCTGGACAGATGTATTATTTTCTTTCTTTTTTTAAAGATTTTATTGGGGAATTGGGGGAGGGAAACAGACAAGTTGCTGTCCTTTTGTTCTTCAGTCTAGTTGTGGAGCATGTCGCTTCACTGGCCCATGTTGGTATTATTGTGCTCTTCCCGGGAGAGACAGATCAGTCGCCAACCACTGAAAGGCAGCTCTTGGCAGTACATGCCGGCTGCTGGCCCCTCACAGTAGCTTTCGGAAGCCCACTGCAGCCGATGCCAGTGACTCATGGCAGCCCAGCTCCAGGTCGAGCTGTTGTTCACCACCTTAGCTGTAGAGGGTGCAGCATCACTGGCCTGCATGTGGAATCCAAACTGGGACCCTGCTGCTCAGAGCTGGCGTCCCAAGCCAACTCTTAATCAATGCACCACTCAGCCGACCCCCTATTTTCTTTTTAAATGTGTATTTTCTGATCTTACATATTCTTGTTCAACTGATTTTCCTATGTAGAAAAAATGTTTAAGTGTAGCTATAAAGGAGGGATTTGGGTAGCTTGAAGATTTTTGTTAAGTGCTTTCTATAGATGCTATCTTAGTAATTTGTTATTTTCTGCCTTCTCCTCAGCTTGTCCCGATACAGACTGAAATTTAGCGCAGATAAAGTGGACACAATGATTGTTCAGGCAATTTGTAAGTATAGTGCTGTGAGGTCTATTGTTTCTATACCCTGTGGTTTTTTTCCTACTATTAAAGCTACCTTTTATAATTCTGCCGAGGAAGAGAATGGGGATTAGCTAGAACTTTTAATAAGTAAAGTGGGAAATGAAGAAGAGAAAAAAGGGAAAACTACCCATAATTTGATTAGTTAGAGATAATGTGAATTACACTATGTAAATTAATTTATTTGTCTTTTCCATGAAAAAAATACTAAAACCATGAGTGTGACCTGTATTGTGTTATTTCGCTTTTTTTCACTTGGCTTTATAATAAGTCTCCCATATCATTAAGTGATTTTTTTTTCTTTTTTAAACATCAGAGTCTTAAACAATTTCCAATTTTAAAAATCCCCTTAAACTGTAGTTGTATTTCTTGGTGTATATGCAAAAGAATTGAAAGTAGGCACCCAAACAGGTACTTATACACCCTTATTTATAATAGCATTAATTCACAGTGGCCAAAAGGTAGAAACAACCCAAATACCCATTAACAGAGAAATTAATAAACAAAATGTGGTATATACATGCAAGGAAATATTCATCCTTGAAACTGGAATGATAGTCTAATACATGCAACAACATGAATGAATTTTAAAGACATGCTAAGTGAAATAAGCCACACACAAAAGGGCAAATAGTGTGTGATACTTAGAATAGGTAAATTCATAGAGACAAAGTAGAAGAGATTACTAGGGGTTGGGGGGAGGTAGTGATGGGGGGTTGTTTGATGGATATAGGGTTTCAGTTTATGATAAAAGAGTTCTGGAAATGGACAGTGGTAATGGTTGTACAACATTGTGAATGTACTTGAAGCCACTAAAACGTATACGTTTGAAAATGGTTAAAGTGGTAAATAAGTTCCTGTTTTTTTGTTTTGTTTTGTTTTTCATTTTAATGTGCTGCAGCCTTGTTGGATGACTTAGATAAAGAACTAAACAACTACATTATGCGGTGTAGAGAATGGTATGGCTGGCATTTCCCTGAATTAGGAAAAATTATTTCAGATAATTTGACATACTGCAAGTGTTTACAGAAAGTTGGTGAGTAACTTGAAGGCATTGAAAATAATTTATCTGTATCCTAAAACGAGTTATAAGTTTTTTCTTTACAAACTTCCCAGATTTTTTTCCAACTTATATTGTTTTAGGAGTATAGCTATAGCCATATCAATGTCTGTTACATTACAGAAACGAAATTAACTTTAACTTTGATTTTGATGGTCTGTGCAATAGAACATGGCTCTATAATTTGCTTTTTAAGATGGCCTCTTATTCATGTGAATGCTTCATGGAATTCCCCATTAATAGGGGCAACTATAGACTTGGGGGATATCCTGAAGTATATTAATAATACCAAAAGTAATATTGCTTATGTATACTGTTAGCGTTATATCCTATACTGATAATACAGTAATATTATTAATAGAGGAACCTGAGTATTATTACTGAATATGAGTAACTTGGCTCACACTATATTACCACATTACCACCCCAAGAATTCTTGGCCCAAGTTTCAATATAACCTTAACTACAGTTATCTACCACAGTATTTCATGGGGAGGGGGGGGGTATGTGTGGTTTTTTGGAGGGAGGTGGTGGGGAGAGATTTTAATCTATAATTAAGCCTTGACATAAGGAAAATTACTAGGTGAAATGTGTTCGCTTTTTGTTTTGTTTAGGCACCCTTTTCATTGGCTTATCTCTACTTTTATTTTTGATTGTTTGGTGGATTTTATTTAATTAGTTGGAGTGATTCTTCCTCATCCTCTGCAAACATTCTATAGGCGATAGAAAGAATTATGCCTCGGCCCAACTTTCTGAATTACTGACAGAAGAAGTTGAAGCAGAAGTCAAAGCAGCTGCAGAGATATCTATGGGAACAGAGGTTTCAGAAGAAGATATTTGCAACATTCTGCATCTCTGCACTCAGGTAAACTATACACATAGAGAAACTATTTGTGGTGATACCAGCTCTGTAATAATTTTCTGGTGGCAATGATGATTTTTCAACTTATTGTTCACCTGATAAATAAATATGAGGGTGTTCAGTCACTACCTCATCTGATGCCATCTTAATTTATATATTTAAAGGGAGGAAATATATACTAAAATGATGTTATGAGTACTAATTTATTTGTATTGTTGCATTGTCTGAATGATGAGTTATAAATCCACTAAGAAGGCAGAGAAGGATAGCATGAGTTATGCAATTCTAACATGTTTGTAGCCTGTGGTGATTTTTTATTCCTCGTTTGGAGATAACTATACAAGAATCAGAGAGCATGACAAATGTCTGCTTGTTGGAGGTTTCCAAAATTAACAGTAGTAGTGGCTAACATTTTTAGGCAGTGCATTAGGTTGTTGACATACATTATCTAATAAAATCTCAACAATCCTTTTATAAGAACAGGTAAGGAATGATGAGTTTTCCCAGAGTTGCACAACTGCTCTACAATAATTTAGTTTTACACATGTGAATTCTATATTATTTTTACTCTTAATCATTTATGAGTGATTTATTTTGTTCCTTATACAATGCAGGTGATTGAAATCTCAGAATATAGAACCCAGCTCTATGAATACCTGCAAAATCGAATGATGGCCATTGCACCCAATGTTACAGTCATGGTTGGGGAATTAGTTGGAGCACGGCTTATTGCTCATGCAGGTGATAATTTTAATGTAATTTGTAAAATGGGTAGAGCTGAGTTGTTTTCTAACTAGGATTTTTTTTTTTAATCTTTAAACTACAGTTATTAAAGAAGTTAAACAGAAGTAGGTATGTGGGTGAGGACTGAGGACCAAGTATTCAGTGATGATTTTATTTGTATGCCTGATTTCCTTTTGGATAATGAAGACCTCTTTAGTCACTACCTCTTCTGAGACACTTGTCCATTGTCAGAAGTTTGTTGTGCTTAATGTCAATAATCAGATGAATGTAGGAGGATGAAAATCAGTTAATATTTTATATTAAAACTCATCAGATTAAAATTGAATAGTTTTAAGAAATCACAATTGATACAGTTGTATGCTGCTTAATGACGGGGAAACGTTTTGAGAAATGCATTAGGCAATTTTATCATTATGCAAACATCATAGAGATGGTATTGCCTATTATACCTCTGGGCTATATGTTATACCACTGTCATATATGTGATCTATTGACCATAATGTCATGCGGTGCATGTCTCCATGCCCTTGATTGAGAATCTGTTTTGCTATTGGATATACTATTTTATATTTTAATATATTTGACATACAAAAATATTTTGAAAAGGTTTATAATAAAACAATGCATGTGTATGGTGATAGAATGACAGCTGCTACAAAAAATACTGTAAATTGAATACTTGCAGATACAATGAGGTACTAGTTCATTATATTACTGGAGACATTGTAATCATCCATCACAGATCTTAATTTATCTACAGCAAAGTGTTTAAACTAGAATAGCTCCTTCATTGATCAAAGATGCCATTCAGATAGCCTCAGCTGCAAGATTGGAATCATCTAGGCTGGTTTTGTTGTCTGTATCCAAAATTTCTTAGATAGACTGAATTTGTAGAAGTGAGAGATGCAGGGATGTGTGATTGTTGAATTTTAAACATGTATATCTAGTGATTTAGTGACTGCATTAATATTGGGGGTATTTTCTGACAGAAAACCTGTGTAACAAATCTAACAAAGTAATATTTGATACCTAATTAGTGTACTTAAAAGCATACCTCCTCATGCATATCTTAACAGAGGTAAAGTGTGAAATTTATCACATAGTTCTATTAAGTTTCCATTTCTTTGTATGGACTTTTTTCATATCTAAAGTAGAGAATATTTGATATCCAAATGCATCTCAAAAATAGGGGCTAGGGGCTGCTGGTTACCTCAGGTGGTTAGAGCCCAGGCTCATGGCACCAAGGTTGCTGGTTCGATTTCCACATGGGCCAAGGAGCTGCGCCCACCACAATGGGATTGAAGACGACTTGACTTGGAGCTGATGGGTCCTAGAAAAACACCTTCCACAACTAGATTGAAACAACTACTTGACTTGGAGCTGATGGGTCCTGGAAAAACACAATGTTGCCCAATAAAATTTCTTCAAAAAAAAAAAATAGGGGCTAGATTGAGGGATATCTGTAAATACAAGTTTATATCCTGTGATATGCTATTGGAATGTAAAATAGTAATAATATCTTTTAGTCAAATAAGTAAAATTGAATAAGCTTAATCTTCAGTTTGTCATACACATTCATCATAAACCTTTGCTTTTGGTGCTAATGGAGTAATTACAAATGCTGAGGCATCAGGATTTTTAGGGAATTCCAAACTATAGAGTCCTGTATTACATCAGATTTTTATTTACTCTGGTGGCTGTAATACTCAGACTGTATTGTGTTCTTTTTGTTTTCTTTTCTTTTTTTAGCTGAGCCATCCTGCCACCTGTTGGCAGCTCAGCGGCAACTCATCTCAGGCTGGGCATCGAACCGCCTTTGCTCAGAGCTCGCACTCTTGCATGAGCTCTTAATTAGCTGAGCCACTCAGCCGGCCTGTATTAAAAGAGCATGCCTTGTAACTACTTCTTTTCTTTTGAAGGTTCTCTTTTGAATTTGGCCAAACATGCAGCTTCTACAGTTCAGATTCTTGGAGCAGAAAAGGCACTCTTCAGAGCTCTAAAGTCTAGACGAGATACCCCTAAGTATGGTCTTATTTATCATGCTTCACTTGTAGGACAGACAAGTCCCAAACACAAAGGAAAGGTGAGTTATAGTTTTCCTGAGGTAGGCCTTTTTTGCTCCAAACAACCTATTTTCTACCTGCTTTATAGCACGCCTTAAACCTGTTCTATTTTTTTCTCTTGAAATAGAAAATGATGACTTCTTTAAATGAAAAGCTCTTTGTATACTGAAAGAAATCGTTTGAAGAAAGTGTTGTTGGTCCTCTTAAAGCTATTTTTTTTCACTGTGTTAGTATTTTCCTAGAATTCACCCATTGGTGAGTGGGTGGTATGGGTGGCACATCAAAAATATTCTTTGTGGCAGGAAGCCAACTTAACATCAGCATATATGAATTATAAAAAAATAATAGCTCTATGCAATGTTGTCTATTTTACAGATTAGGAAACAGACTTAAATTTAGGTACTTTCAAACTTTTATAGGACACATAGTTGAACAGAAACTAAAATTTCATAAAATTCAGAGCAGAGTGATGGGAGAAATAAAGGGTTCAATAAAATAAAATGTTGATTAGCTTGAAAAGGGACTATACTTGCTCTAGATGACCTTATGGTACAGAACTAACGTCACTGAGTAGAAACTAAAGGAGAGTATTGGAAGAATAGTTTGAGCAAGTTTTAGACATGAACTACTAAAAGATCTTTTCATCTACCAAAATGCAGTTAGTATAACCAGTTAGCCATTATATTATGGCAGAGATTCAAATGTAATATAGCTGGCTTGAGTTATATGATTCAAAATACTTCTGTAATTCCTGATTTTTAAAAAAAATCCTGGAGTGAATGTTTCTAACTTTCAGTTCTCCGTTAGATTTCTCGAATGTTGGCAGCCAAAACTGTTTTGGCTATCCGGTATGATGCTTTTGGTGAAGATTCCAGTTCTGCAATGGGAGTTGAGAACAGAGCCAAATTAGAGGCCAGGTTGAGGACCTTGGAAGATAGAGGGGTAAGAAACACATTCTGCCTATTGCAGAGATGTTACCTGCTAAAAGTTAATTATGAGTAGTTGATGTATTTACTCATTTCACCTGTTAAAGTTTTATTTTATGATGCATTTTAGTATTACTAATATTTTTTTTGTTCCTGATATTAACAATTTCCCTGATATTTACCGAGAATTGATATATTAGAGTATATACTATAAAGAGATTATGTCTTAGAAAATTATTAATAAATTTTCTTTTCTTAGATAAGGAAAATAAGTGGCACTGGAAAGGCATTAGCAAAAGCAGAAAAATATGAACATAAAAGGTGAGTACACTTGGTGGGGGGTGCGGATGGATAATTTCTACTTATTTAAATGTTAATTGTTGACAGCACGTTTTTTACTATAAACTGAAACTCCCCATTGTTCCCCTAATTTTTTTTTCTTTGCCATTTACAGTTTTCCATATTCAGTTCTAATTTTTAATCATATGCAGATTTTTACATCATTATAAGTACATACAGTGTATTTGTTTTTATTTTTTCTTAGTATTTAACTTAGTTCCAAATGTTGATAGTAAATATTTGTCACTCATAGTTCCTATATAGTATACCATTTGTTGAAAAGAAAGTTCATTCAGTGTTAATCTAACCTATTTTTTTTAAAAAAGAGACAATAGAGAGAACAGTGTAAAAATGGCTAGGAGGCATGATAGTATTCAGACCTCCCCATAAAATTAAAAGTAAGGTTTCTAGTCGTTAACCAATAAACTCTACCTTTAAGAATCTTGTAATCCATTAAAAGTTTTAATAATAAATCTTATGCTATAAGTGGGTGGGGAGAGTAATATACAGTAACAGCTGAATTATAAATATATTTACATATATTTAAATATACACATTCAGAAAAACGGTTTTTATTTATTCTGGAAACCATATGTATTCAGTGTGGGCATTAATGTTTTATAATTTGTGGGTTTTCTAAGTAAGTGATTTATTGTTCTTAGTTGACAAATGGTGGGTTTTTGTTTCTTAAATTATAAATGTTTTTAACCTATAAAAGTTAAACAGTCATGAACCTACAAGTTAGCTTAAAAAATAAGAAAGGGGCCGGCCGAGTGGCGTGTTGCTTAAGAGTTGGCTTGGGACACCAGCTCTGAGCAGCAGGGCCCCAGTTCGGATCCCACATGAGTGCCAGTGACGCTGCGCCCTCTACAGCTAAGATGGTGAACAACAGCTCAACCTGGAGTCAACGTGAGTTGCTAGCGACGGTGTAGGCTGCAGTGAGGCTGGCTGGCAACTGGCGTGCGCTTTTGTGAGCTGAGCTGCCATGAGCCGCCATCCTATGGCCGGTGAGTGACTGCCTCATCCGGGCAGAGCGCAGTGATCACAATACCAACATGGGCCAGTGAAGCGACGTCCTCCAAAACTAGACTAAAGAACAAAAAGGACAGCAACTTGTCTGTTCCCTATCCCCGATTCCCCAATGCTGTTCCCCTCCCCCAATTCCCCAATCTTTAAAAAAAAAAAAAAGGAATAATATTTCTGAACTGTTTCATACAATTTTTTTTTAAGATTTTTATTGGGGAATTGAGGGAAGGGGAACAGTGTTGGGGGATTGGGAAAGAGGAACAGACAAGTTGCTGTCCTTTTGTTCTTCAGTCTAGTTGTGGAGGACTTCGCTTCACTGGCCCATGTTGGTATTGTGATCATTGAGCTCTTCCCGGTTGAGGCAGTTGGTCGCCAGCCATTTCACAGTCACTCAAGCTGACTGCCGGCCACTCACAGTAGCTTACGGCAGCCCACTGCAGCCGGCACTAGTGACTCAAAACAGCCCAGCGCCAGGTCGAGCTGTTGTTCACCATCTTAGTTGTAGAGGGCGCAGCATCACTGGCCCATGTGAGATCCGAACCGGGGCCCTGCTTCTCAGAGCTCGCACTCCCAAGCCAACTCTTAACCAACGAGCTACTTGGCCAGCCCTGTTTTATACAATTTTTTAATGTTTTCATGTATTATGCTATGACTTTAAACACATGAACTTAAAACACCAATTATGAGGTTTAGTTCGCGTTTTAGGCACTCATTGCTTCAATTTTATTCTTTCTGCTATGTTAGAACAAAAGCTATCATTGGGTTTTAGGAATTGTATTCATATGTATTCCATGTTCCACTGCCTCTTGGGATCTTATGATGAAGTCTCTTGTATTAAACCTAATCGGGGTGTTTTTTTGGTTTAGTTTTCATTGAATTACTTTATATTCTAAAACTTGAATTGGTTCAGTTTTTACTTTCTAGCATATTCCTTTGGTATAAAGAGATTTTCTCCCATTTTTCCTGTATGCTGACTGAGTCTTCTTCTGTACCATAGTCACTACATTGGTTACTAAATCAGAATTCCTTTAGCTCACTACTTCTCTTGAAGTGTGATTGAGCTACCTGGAAAATAGGAATACCTCTTTTTTTGGAAACTATTCGTTTTCATAAACTGCCCCAAAGTCACTAAAATGAAACAGCATTTTATGTTTATGTAAGTGTTATCTGATGTCATTTCCTTTACATCTTTTTAGAATTATTTTAATTGCACACCTTCCTAGGGATTTTCTAAAACTCTTTCGCTCTTTCAGTGAAGTGAAGACTTACGATCCTTCTGGTGACTCTACACTGCCAACGTATTCTAAAAAACGTAAGATAGAACAGGTAGATAAAGAGGATGAAGTAATTGAAAAGAAGGCCAAAAAAGCTAAGGTGAAAATTAAAGGTTAGTTTGAATTTTTTAAACGTCATTTATACTTTTATTCCTTAAGTATAGACTTCGTAAGTTTTGGTAGAGTACATGCCATCGAACTGTATTGTGAAACCACTCCATATTGAAAGCTAGTGCTGTTATAATAAGCCATTGTGTTCTCTGAGGATAGTTAGGATATAATTTACCAAACTTCACAGAGGAATGTGAGAAGCATTTCTTTGAATATGTGGGATTGCATATTATACTAAATTTACCAAAACTTTAGTTTCCATCACAAGAGCTATTTTGATAATCAGCTTAAAATAAAAGGAAAAAGGTATGTAGTTTCTAAATGAGTCACTGAGATATTTTTGTTATATAGTTAAGTGTAGAATTGATGAAGCAGTGGTTTTCTTTGTTGTTTCTGTTAGATGGAATGGACTAGAGTGGTAACATACTGGATAGCCTAGCCTGCTATCGTAGTAATAGTAATAATATTAAAAAGGCGCTCTCCAGTGAAGTAGGATGTCTTGCAAAGTTGGTAAGCAAGTACTCCCATTTATTAGCTTGACCAGTGTTAATTGCCTACCATCTAGTCTAGCAAGATAGGCATTGGTGCAATGACTGATTTAATTTTTGGTTTCTAAGTAGCTTAGTGGTCAAAAGTGCCCTATCAGCAAATGTGGACTCCTGCCTTAGATGAAGAAAACATTTCTTTAACTCCTGTGCTGCTATTTATTGAGCTTCCTAAACCCACAACTAGCATTTGAGGATACCAAACTTTGGATTTGTATCTTCACTTGTATATCCAGTAAGCTTCTCAAACTTAACATTCATGGATCCTTGCTACTCCCAGTCTGTTGCTCCACAATTGTCTCTTTCCTATAAATGCAATTCTGGTTACTTTGGCTTTTAACCTGAATCTTCTCTTATAACCCAAATCTACTCTGGCAGCAGGTTATCTTAATTCTACTTTGAAAGTATATCCAGTATCTAACCACCTGTCATATGTGGATGTAGCGGCCACAGTGGTCTTGTTATTCCTTGAACTTGCCAATTCCTCTTTTCTCCCAAAATAACCTTAGCATTTGTTTTTTTCTCTACCTGGAATATTTTTCCTCAAGATATGTGCATCATTCACTTTCTTACCTTTTTTAGGTGTTTGCCTGACTATCCTGTCTAAATGTCCACATGCATCGCCTTCCTCAGTGTTCCTCTTCCTGCATTATTTTTATAGTTAGCACTGATTACTATGTAAAAATATTGTACAGTGAGTGTATCATTTACTTTTTGTCTCTTGTGTCTTGCTGTATCTTCAATTGTTTCGATTAGAGCATGACATATAGTAGGTACTAAATAAATATTTGGTGAATGAATTTCTAATACCTACCTATTCTTGAATCTGCATTCTAATGTGCCAAGCATTGTGCTAAATATTCTGCAAGTGTTATCTTAAATCCTAGTAACAATCCAGTAAGATAGACAATGCTAAATTTTATAGATGAGGCAATTCAGGTTATATAGGTTAAGTGACTTACTCAGGGTCACAGCACAGATTGAATAGCCCCAGGACTGTTAACTCCAGAGCACAAACTCTTAATCATTTCTGATATAATGGACTATCCCAAGAAAACACTGGGTTTGGAGATGAAATAAGATGATCTGTTTTATTCTAATGTCTATGCATAGCTACATGATCATGAGAAATTGACTTCTCTCTGAGCTTTATATCACTTGTAAAGTTAATAGTATTGGTCTAGGTAAGTAAGTGTTAGAAGGACCTTTGTATTTATAAAATTATATAATAAACATCAGATGGTTAACCAGAATGATAGAAAACAACTAAGATTCCAATGTTTTGGGAGGGAGTGAGGTATGGTACAATATTAATTGTTGTATCTTTACACTAACCTTATTCAGTTGAAGAAGTAGTAGAAGAAGAAGAAGAAGAGGAAGAAGTACTAGTGGTGGAAGAACAGGAGACATCTATGAAGAAGAAGAAGAAAAAGGACAAGAAGAAACACATTAAGGAAGAACCACTTTCTGAGGAAGAACCATGCACCAGCACAGCAGTTCCTGTATGTTTCTTAATTACCAGTACTTTATTACCATGGGCAGAGTCTCCATATTTTATTCTATTCTCTCTATCAGAAATGAGCGAACAGTTTAAAAAACGGTTTTCTTGATGGGAAAGTAAAATAAAAAACAGGTCTACTTTGCTTTTTATTAGGAAAAGTTATTACCCATACATTTACAGCTCCTTCAAAAGCATTCTTGTTGGTTATTTTCAGAGTCCAGAGAAAAAGAAGAAAAAGAAAAAAAAGAAAGATAATGAAGACTAGTGGAAAGGAATCGTAATTGAATCACCTGGATACATCATGCTAAAGATTCAGGAATATGCCAGAGATGCTCTCTAAAATAATTGCGGAAAGGTTGGATGAAACTGGTTATTCACCTATAGCTTTTCAAAACCTATTTGTGTCTTAACATTGACTGTTAACTTTATTATGTCATCATTTCTTAGTCTTTGTTATACAAATAAAACTATTTTCTTTGTATTTTAAGGCCGTTTTGTGATCTCTATATTTTAAGTAGAGAATCTTTGGCCCTTCCTATATTTTATTTAGCATTTGACAAGTATCATTTTGATAATTATATCTGAAAAGTGAGAGTTGTGAATCATTCATTTGAAACAGCCTTTTGTAAGGCATTGATTAGATGGAACAGTTTAAGAATCTCACTCTAATACCCTTCTCTTAACCTTTTTGGACTTCAATTTTTGTTTCTCTTCTATCTTTCTGCCTTTATTTATTTAAATCTGTGTTTTATGCTCAAAATTTTTAAATTAGGTGAGCAAAACATTTTGGCATCTCTTCAGAAAGAAAAAAATCATGTCCCTAATTTTATTTACTTGTTTGCAATTCCAAAAGGTGCAACAAAATACTAATTTAGACCCTGATTTGCTTCTAAAGTAATCTAAACGAACTTTTTGAAAAAGGTAATACAAACTCATAGTAAAGAATGGGGAAAAGGGGGAAAACAAGATGAGTAAAAATAAAATAGGGTGAAGTATAAACTAGGGCATAGAACACCAAAGAGATCTTTATTTTTAACAGATGCCTGATTGACAGCGATATAGTCATGACAGTCACAACTTTCATAGGACTGTTTCACGTGGCATCTCTGTAGGCGATGGGCATTGTGCTAAAACCCAATTCGGTAAAAACATTCAAAGGGTGGAGTAGTTAGAATGATAGTTTTGAGTTCCACCTCTGCATTACCTGTTACCTGGGCAAGTCAGCAACCCTTCTTTACTAGTTTCTCGTTTGTGAGTCAGAAATAAAGTTTACCTCTCATAACAGTGGTTTGTAGAAAATGATACAAATTTTCATAGATGTAAATACATTTCAAATTTGGATATTTTGGTTAAATGCTACATGAAGTACTTGCAGCCATCCTTAGACAAAATTACATAATAATAATAAAGCTGGTTATTTTTCTCCCAAGAGAGAACGTTGTCATTTTGCCTCACACAGTAGTACCCTGGACACTTAATTGATTTGCGTTTAACAGATTTTTGTTTTTAACAATTTTTGATGAAAGTGACTTGTAGGCTGCCAAGTGCTGTATAGTCAAAGCTTTATATGAAACGAGTTAGATTTTGAGAATATTAATTAGTAAACTGCTCCCAATCAGTTTGAGTGGTCTTTTATAGGCCGAGGGAAAACCAAGTTGAATCCCAGAGCTATCAGCCTTAAGTGCTAAAGTCTTAACTGTTTAAAACACTAACCAAAAGGTGAGTTCTGATTCTTTGTGTTAAAATGAAGCACTTGTTTTATTGAAGAGCCTTGGGAACTTTGTATACCTAATTTTGATAAGCAAAATTGAAGAATTTTCTTGAGACAGCCACATAAAATAGCTTCTGCTTAAAAATTGATTCTTCATTGCGCTCCACCCCTTCTCTTCAAAAATGTTAATTTATATTTTCTGATTTAAACTAACTTCTATATCTCTCCACTGTCTTCTGGGTCTTCAGTATGCTTATCAAGGCCTTGGCTGAGCTGCCCTCTCTCCAGAGCTCTAACCTCTGCCTTCTGCAGTTCTCTGCCCATGAAAAATTTTCTATCCATTTGTTGCTTCTCTAAAGCCATCTTTTAAAACTTGGCCCTGGTTCATCCTCTGTCCTCAGCTATACCTCTGATTCTGAAAACTGCAAGCTGCTCTATGTTGGAACATTTCTTAATACCTAAAAATTGGAATCTTGTTGAAATGTGTGGTGGTGGGCATATATGGATGTTCTTTGTATTTTCTCTATTTTTCTTTTCTGTATGCTTGGAAATGATTGTAAAAATTAAAAGTCTTATTTTTTAAAGCAATAACATGCTATTTATTTTGCTTTAATTCTGAGTTCTTTATCTCAGAAAACTTATAAGTTTGATCTGTACAACATTCTTGGTCAGCAAGCACTTGGGACAACCACTAGGGGCCAGACACTTGTTAACCAAGAGAATTCAACAGAGCAGAAGATGCATCAGCTGCTGACCTCTGGCCGTTCACACAGTGAACCTCAAACCCTCCTGATGAGGAAGGTCATGTTCTCATGTAAGTTCTTGCTTGAGGAGGGGGGAATGCAGGAAAGCAGCAAGTAAAGATCTCAATAGAAGATGAGAAATACGGAAATTTTGAAAAGAAAAGCTACAAAGTGGAATTTGAGTTTATGGAAAAGAAATCATCCCCTTACTCTACTAGTGAGAAGAAACTGTACACTGAAGAAAGTAGAAAACGGCAGCAGAAGCCTACCGCTTGGCAGGTAATAGAATTGCAAGGATAGCTGCGTCCCATTGATCCTCATGTCCCCGCCCTGAAACTCATCCCTTGAGCTTTGGCAATTTGGTCCTCACTTGGAGAGCCGAGCTGTGCTGTAGAAGTGTAGGGAAGCCATCCTGTGACCTCAAAACTCCTGCATTCTAACGTGAGCCAAGAAGCAGAGGAGAAGGCCTTGGTTTCTAACGAGGGTAAATGTACCCAACTCCAGGAAAACAGTTGGTCAGACAACAAATGCATCTATTTATATCCTATAATCTGCTGGGCCAGCAACATGCTAATAACCAGCTGGGCATGATGGAGAGGCCACAAGCTGACTGTCAGAATAGGAAGATCCCTGCACTAGTGGTCAGAGAAAATATACACATGCAAGTGCTGCATAAGCCAAAAAGCACTATATAAATTAGTATCCTCACTGCTGTTATGAGCTGATTTCACCACTAATATACTAATTCATGTCCTTGGATGAGTAAACATGCCCTCTCTGGGCTTCATCTATAAAATGGAAATCTGTTCATTTATAAGGTGCTTGGAAACGTGGATGACTTAGGCAAAATTCCTTGTAAACTGAACAAATGTATTACTCAAAATCTGTTCTTAAAAATGAAGATCCTTGAGTTATGTATGCCAAGGGAGAAGTCAGTGGGAGGGATTAGAGAAACTAGGGCAGCCACCAACTAGCCATTTACCAGACTCATTTCTCTTATCACGGCACACAGCTAGACTATTCCTCAGCCTTACTTAGTTAGATGTGGCCATGTGACAGTTCTAGCGGGTGGTAGTGGTGACGATGTGTACATTACTTGGGAGCCTGGTCCGTAAAAATCCCCCACTGCAGTCTTTAATGCCCTATTCCATGCCTCGCCCTACCGCCTCATCCCCAGCTTGATGTAGACAATAAACTTGGGAGCCAGGTGTTAAGATACAGAAGCTATAAGGTAAAAAATCTGTAGCTCCAGGGGGCCGGCTGAGTGGCTCAGTTGGTTAAGAGCTTGCTCAAAAATGTGAGTTCTGATCAACAGTGGTTCGATGCCGGGCCCGAGCTGAGCTGCCATCAGGTGGCAGGATGGCTCAGCTAAAAAAAAAAAACAAAACTCTAGCTCCGAATAACCACCAGCTACCCACTGATCAGGAACATCCATTTTGGACTTTATAGACAGAAGAAATAAATTTGTTACATTTGGGTCATTATATTAGCTTGAAAGATGAAATTGCTGATACTTCACTTTTTGACCTAGAAAGATGATTCAACCTAATATTTTTATTTGTTTCAGCAGTCAGTGTAACCTTAAACCATCTTAAAGGATGTCTTTCAACAGCCACGTTTTCAAAGGTAAAAATGGAAATTAGGATTGTTGAGTTTTGTGGATCAGAGATTGTAACTGCCTGCTTTTGGTCCATAATTGGGGGCAAAAAAAGTTTGCTCCACAAAATGTTGGCCAACAGAGTTTTTTTTGTTTTGTTTTAATTGGGGAATTGGGGGAAGGGAACAGACAAGTTGCTATCCTTATGTTCTTCAGTCTAGTTGTGGAGGATGTTGCTTCACTGGCCCAAGTAGGCACCATCATTGTGCTCTTCCTGGGCGAGGCAGATCAGTCGCCGGCTTCTGGACGGCCGCTCACACTGGCTGCCGGCCACACACAGTGCCCATGGAAATCCACCTGCCGTCGGCGGCGATTCACGGCAGCCCAGCTCCAGGTCGAGCTGCTGTTCAACAGCTTAGCTGTAGAGGGCAGCGTCACCGGCCCTCATGTGGGATCCAAACTGGGGCCCTCTGGCGTCCCAAGCCAGTTCTCAACCATCGCGTCACTTGGCCGGCCCTGATTTCAATCTTTTAAAACTGTACGGGCTGGCCAAGTGCGCGTTGGTTGGGAGCTGGCTTGGGACGCCAGAAGGCCCTGGTTCAGATCCCACATATGAGGGCCGGTGATGCTGCTCTCCACAGCTAAGATGCTGAACAACAGCTCAACCTGGAGCTGGGCTGCCATGAGTCGCCAGTGATGTCGTAGGCTGCAGCCCCAGTGGCAGTGGGTTGCCATGGGCTACCGTGTGTAGCCAGCAGCCAGCGTGAGCGGCCGGCAGCCGCAGTGAGTGGCCGGCAGCCGCAGTGAGTGGCCGTCCAGAGACCAGCGACTGATCTGCCTCGCCCGGGAAGAGCGCAATGATGGTGCCAACTTGGGCCATTGAAGCAACGTCCTCCACAACTAGACTGAAGAACAAAACGACAGCAACTTGTCTGATCCCCTTCCCCCAATTCCCCAGCGCTGTTCCCATCCCCCCAATTCCCCAATAAAAATCTTTAAAAAAAGAAAAAATTGAAATCATTGCTGAATCAAAAATTCTTGTAATGCATTTCAAAAATATTTTTCTTTCCCATTTGTTTTCTGACCTTCAGAATCAATGTAGCAATGAAAAAACTTAAAACCAAACTACACAAAGCAAAAAGAACAAAATCTCTTTAATAAACAGAATTAAGCTGTTTAGGTCTTAAAAGATAGACTGAAATTTAAATTATGGGGTGAGGACTTCTTTTTAAAATAAATTAAGAAAATGAAGATTGCTACAGTTGACCACATAACTTGTATAGCAAAAATAGTTTAAAATAGTCAAAATGGGACAAGGAAATGGTTTCTTTAATATGTAAAGAGGTTAAAGTAACAAAGAACTTTTAAAATACAACAGGTAATCCCAGAAAGAGTCTACAAATGATTAATAACCATAAGAAAAGGCATGTCCTATC